TGTCAGGGATAGTTAGAAAAGAGTTTCTGTATAGTCCAAGTGAAGGTCTGAACTTGGGAAGCAGCCCTATGGATTTTAGTCTGTGAGAGCTGTTCCAGTAAACACACGTTTGAATTTAGTTTATATAGGGGGAAACAGTGCATCACTGACATGAAGAATGTAACTATGCTTTGCTAGGAGAGGCTTCTGGTTTGAAATCTATGCTGATACTGGAAAGAGGCAGCGCAGGGTCTAATTCCCAATGAATGCCCTGCAGAGACAAGGAGGCTGGGTGCCCACAGTTAAATCTCTTTAAAAAAACAGAAAAGACTTACTTTGCCTCCAGGCAGCAGATTCCTGTGTACAGGATGGAGCCTGTGAAGATGATCGCTTGGCTTCCCGTCAGCCCAGGGATTAGCCAAATCTTAATCTTTAACAATACGTCACTTCTACAGATAAGTTTACCCACAGTTTTATTTGAAGTAGGTGCAAGTAAAAGAGATGAATTTGAATCAACATACTGAATAATCATGACTGAACTATAAAGAATATTTCGCTCATTTTTCATTTTGCCTCATCTTTCATTCATTCATTTACTGGTTCATATGTGCTACTGTGTCTAGCTCCCAGTTGAGGATGTATTTTCAATTGCAGATCCTTCCCACTGCTGCTCAAGTGTGTATGTCATAAGAATAATGTCTTCATACATCACCACAATATTTTTATCAATCTCAGATAATATACTATTAGTATAATAATTTTATCTAATCCACATTAGAAGTGAAACTTCTAATTCTACCATTTACCCCATTATCATTTTTGTGTCCTATTTTTCCTAGGATTTTATATTGTTTTTGCTGTTTCAGCTCAGTTTGCTTCTGCTCTTCAGATGGCATTGTCTCTTGACTGATATTTTAAATACAGGCCAGGCATTTTATAACGTTTTCCTCAATTTGAGCTTTCTTGTCTAATGTTTTTGTGGCCTGATTCCGCTTTTGCATGAACAGATGATAATTAAACGGATAAGGTCTATCTGCCAGATGATTAGACATGATGACCGGCCCATGAGATGCTGTCCACTGCTCCTCAGATGATCTGGATTCTGAGCACCTGAAGGTGATAGTACCTGTTTCCTTGACGCTATATTTAGAATTTCCCCAAGCAACTTCTGCAGGGAGAGTCCTGGCTTCTCAGTTCGATGAGGGGCACAACGTCACTTCAGAATCACTGTATCTCTGCAGTCAGAGAAAGCAGACAGTACTTAAGAGGCGGGATGTGTTTGTATTTGGCGCAGGTGATGAGAAATCTTAGTTATTTTATTTTATTTTATTTTTTAAAGTGTATTTTTTGTTTGTTTGTTTTGTTTTTATTTATTTATTTGTTTGTTTTGTTTATACAAGCACTGGGTACAGTCAGAAGCGCGGGAGGGTGAGAGAATTCACCAGAGCCAGAGCGGGGAGCAGAGCAGGCAGAAGGACCGAAGGACACTGCTGAGGGGAGCAGTGGGCGGCAGGAGAGGTCTACGCGCCATGTGGGACCCTCCTCAAGTGGCCGGGGAGCAGCCGGGGATCAAACCTGCCCTGCAGAGGCTGTGGGCAGCTTCGCAGCCCAGCGCTCAACCACTGCGCCGCCAGGGGAGGCCCAAATCTTAGTTATTTTAGATTGGATCACATTTGTAATTAATTACCTACTGACAATCCCCTCCAATTAAAAACTACTGATACAAGTTTTATGACATAGATTCTATACATTAATTTTCTTTATTCCTCATTTTATTACTTATTTTTAGAGAATTTCATGTCGTTGTGTGTGTCTTTGTAAATAAATGAATCACTTGGCTATCTGTGCATCATAAATGTAAAACAAGGGCCAGTGACAAGAATCATAATTCAGGGGGTGAGCTTTGGGCTCAGTCTGGGGGTTCTGTGGGACTTCACTGGGCTGACTCCCCATCCTCGGTAGAGCTGGAGGTGGCTGGGTACTCGCTGCCCTGGCCATCTCATCTGAATGCTTACAGTTGTCTGGCTCTGAGTTGGGGGAATGGGCTGTGATGTCACTTGCAAGGACAGATAAGAAGCAGAATTAAGTCCCACTCAGGGGTCCCGAGAGAGGGTCGTTGACGGGTGGATGAACGCCTATGGGTGGATGGGTTTTTTATGGCTGTGCTTATGTTTTGGGTCTAGAGGAGGAGCCATGTGATGGGGCAGTTTTTGGATTGGCCAGCCTTGGCCGATGTCTGATATGGATTAACCAGTGAGAGTGTTTCTCGTTATTGACTTTTCCCTCCTGTTTTGTCTCCTGGAGCCCCACGTCTCCCGGAGTCTTAGTCCCTCTTTTTGTCAAGGTGTAACGCCACATATAAGGCCTGTGGAAATTTTGCATGTTGGGTCCAAAGTAGGGCGGTCATATCTGTGTACTCTGGTCTTTGGAAAACATTTGAAGGCTCGTGTTAAGCTGTTTCTGCCCTTGATACATTGCCCAAAGAAATACGCATTCCTCAGCCAGATCAACACCCTCAAGCAGCTTACTCCAGGTGTTTCTCCCCATTGCTTTCATTCGGTGCACCCTCTCCAGAGGTTAGAGGGGTCATGTCAAGATTTGAGGTCAAGGGTTCAAATTTATCAGTAAGTCCCCCTCAGCCACATGCACGGTCCAAATGGCGTAGTAGAGAGTCACAGGAAGGGAGGGGAGGGCAGGCGGGAAGTGAGGAGACAGAGGGGAGCTTGAGGGAGTGAGAAAGGATCATAGAAGTGAGAACAGGAGATGACAGAGAAAGAAGGCAATGGAAGGGGCATGGGGAGCAGATGTCATTGAGTTCCCAGTTGACAAACACACTTTCAATCCATTATCTTAGCCACCCCCAAGAGCTCCTCCCCCTTGGTATTGGTCTCCTTCTAGGAATCTCTACAGAGATTCAGCAAGGGTGGCTCGTGTGTAGTCAGCAAGGAGCCAGGCTGCAGGGATGCGAAGTCCCTGTCGTGTACTACCTATGAGGGGAGAAAGGGGTCCACCATGCAGCTGCAAGTTGTGTGTCACTGAAAAAATAAAGTCAAGACCAACACAGGGCAATTCCTGTGTCAGTGTTGATGCTTCTGTGAAGAATTACTCTGTCCAAGTCAATGTCCCATGGATAGTTTGATCTAATATTAGGATACCTGTGCAGTTTGTTGTAAATGTGCTTTTCTTGAGTCTCATGACTGGTTTCCTTAAGGTGTGAAGCATTCACTCTCTAAATAATGTTCCCTTAACAAATACAATAAGAAGGGCATTCACCGTGTGCTTTCTAGTTGTTGATGTTTTCTCTGTTTTACCACAAGTTGCTATTAGAATAGCCATTTTAAAAAGATGTCTGTGTCATGTGCATGGACAGTGAGCATCCTGGGTGGGGTCTGTTAGATAAGGTCCGCTGCACCCATGGGACGAGCCTGTATGAGACAGAGGGAGAGGAGAAGCTGCATTTTTCAGGAGCCATTATTGAGCTCTGAGAAGTGATTAGGAAATAATGTTGCTGGAAACAAAAACACGATATGATGAGAATATTTAATGCTGCTGTAGATTATGTAGACGCTAATTGCAAATGCTAAACATCAGGGGAAAATGCCTCGTTCTACGTGGCAGTAGTATTACGATGGTGCATGGTTTATTTGGGGACTGAACTCTAGTACTATTTAGTTCATTTGTACGGAAAACATGAAGGAAAAATTGCACTAAGAAAAATTAAGAAGCATCCCTGGATAATGAGGAAGAGCTCACCAGATGTTGAAGGGAGAAGTGATTTCATCAATGGGCATTAAAATGAGATGAGGGTCTTGAGTGCAGATGGTGACGAGGAAATTAATGCTCTGGCCGCGTTAATGACTGCGGAGGTGACTCTGTCTCGAGTTATCTGGCAGCCAGCAGGAGAAAATGCAAAATCCTCTGTTGGTATTAAGACTTAATTCCCAAAACTCTCTCAAGTTACTGTTTATGTGGCAAGAAATTAGTCTCCAATGACTGACGAGACAGTAAGGCGGGTTTAGGAAGAGTGGCAGATAAGAGAAATGAAAATAGAACTTCATAGAGACGGTGGATTTACACTTCTGGAGATGTTTTCAGAGGAGCATAGACGCTGGAGTGATTTCATTGTAGGTTTTTTCTTTATCTTTTTTCCATTTGTAGTTATTGTTTCTAACGAGGTGTTTTCATTTCAATACTTTGTCTCTATTAATGGATGTTCCTGGAATGTGTGGCGAAGCTGGACACCCATCTCCAGACGACAGAGCTCCGAACTGTCCTTCCATTAACAATTCCAAAGCAATCCGATCATTTCCTCCAGTTTCTCTTGGACCATGGCAATAGTGGACAGGGAGTAGAAATTTTGGCATCTCCCATTCCTGGGGAGGCCTGGAGAGATGGGTTCTGTCTGTAGACCACCCCAGGGCAGCTGGTCCTGTGCTCACTGACAGACCAGCTCCAGGGCCACCTTCCAAACCTCCAGTGATGTAGTCTTCAGTATGTGTGTGTGGGGGGGGAGTGCACACATGCATCAGGAGGAGAAGAGAGAGAGAGAAGAGCAATAGAGACAGAGAGATTACCAGACAAGAGCCTATTGATTTTGTCTAATTACCTGCTTCCCTTCAGTTTTGGATTCTCTCCATCCTGACTGGTGACCTAGGGTTGCCGGGGTGTAAGACAGCACTAATTGAATCACTGCCACACTTACTTTCACATGTTCAGCACTTGTGGAAATAATGGAAGCAAGAGCTGATCTACGGATCTAAGCAGCTAAGTGACATGCATGCATTGTCATCCCCCTAGACTTGTGAGATATAATATGTGAAAATTACCTAAAATTGTCATAAACGATTTGTTATTAGAGGTGGTTCTGGTTAGGTCTTGACTGTGAAATAGTCCAAATTGGCATACAGACCAATGAGATTAAATCAATCCATCAAAATAGGACTCTTTAGTCTAAGTAATCACGTTTACCATTCTCCATGGAATTTTGACTTAAATTAGGTGACATTAAACCCCAAACATACCAGAGGTCAACTTGTCCATAGAAGCTTGCTCAACAGATCTGAAAGAATCTCCCTTTGCTTGGTATTAGGTGACACCCCAGATCCATCAGGTTGTGGAAGAACCACTTGGAAGAAATTCTTTGTTCTAGAAGAAAACAAAAAGGAACACCCCAAACAGGCAGTGGGGATCTTCAAGGTGTCAGAGGCTGGAGAAAGTGGCCCAGAGTGACAGGTTTTGAGGCCCATGTTTTACATGGTTTCTGCCACAGAATTTTAAGAAAGCATTTCATAGAGATTCTTTAACCCAGCTGGGAGCACAGACTTAAAGTCCTGTGTGACTGAAAGGGGGATTCGTAACAAGGAAGCTGCTGACTGTGGAAGTTCTCAACGTTGTCAAGTGTGAGAAAAGGACTAACACATTCCTTGTATGTGATCCAAGAGAGGTTAAAGACTCCATAGTCTGTACTTGGAGCTGGAACTGAAAGATTGACTAGGAAGGTATTTTATGGAGAGTTTTATTGGTGTATAACTGATATAAAAGAGACTGCAGATTTGAGGTATGCCACCCAGGTAGCCCTGACACACTCCTGAAAAACCAGCCACAGCCAAAGCAATGCATGTACCCCGAACTCCAAAAGTGTCCTCTGCATCTCTGTTTATTTATTTTTGTTGTAGTAAAAACACTTAGCCTGGGATTTACCCTCTTCATTGATTTTAGGTGCACTTAATGTGCACAGTGAAGCCTCAGCACAGTGAAGCCCTCTGCAGCATGAGTTTGATCCCAGCCAGGGAGCTGATCCACATGGCGCAGCAGACCTCTCCTGTCTCCCCGCTGCTCCCCTCAGCAGTGGATTTCAGTGGATCTGCCTGTTCTGCTCCCCACTCTGTCTCTGGTGAATCCTTTCACCACTTCCCACCCCTCACACCTCTGGGCTACACCCCAGCTCTTGTATATGTAATTAAATAAAATAAATATTTTTTAAAAAATTGGACACAATGTTGACTCCAGAGCGGTGATCATCTCGCACCAGCAACTTCATGGCCAGGAGGAGCCTCCCTGCTCCCCTGCCTCCCAGCTCTCGGCAGCCACCATTCTCTCTGCTTCCACGAGCTTGGCTTTCTTAGACGCCTCAGAGAATGAAGTCACATTGTGCTTGTCTTTCTGTGGCGGCTTGTTTCCCTTAGCATCATGGCCTCCATGTTTATTCACATCAAGCATAGGACAGGATTTCCTTTTCCTTTCAAGGATGAAAAACACTCCATTGCACGTAGAGAGCACATTTTCTTTATCCATTCAGCCACTGACAGACATTTACACTGATGTCTTGAATGTGACACCAAAGACACTGGCAACAAAAGCAGAACTAGACAAGTGGCGCGACGTCAAACTAAAAAGCGTCTGCACAGCTAAGGAAACATTTGACAGAATGGAAGGCGGCCTGGGGGTGGGAGAGAGGATTTCAGACCATATGCATGGTAACAGATTCATACACCAAATATGGAAGGAGCTCCTGAGACCCAATAACAGCAACAACAAGAACTTGATTTTAAAACTGACAAAGGAACTGAGTAGACATTTCTCCCAAGAGCACTTACACAGGGCCGCGAGGACGCTCCGCCTTGGGGGCCACCCTCACTGGTCACTCAGGACATGCACATCACAGTCACTGTATTTCAGTGTAGCTAGGACGCTATTACAAGAAAAGGAGCAAAAGATTAGAGGTGTTGACCGAGATGTGGAGAAACTGGAATCCTGTGCCTGTTGGCGGGAAAACAAAATGGTGCAGCCGCATGGAAAGTAACATGGAGGTTTCTCAGAAAATTAAAACTAGAACCAGAGGATCCAGCAGTCTGACTTCTGGGGAAATGTGACCAGAACAGAAATCGGGATTCAAAGATCCACCAGGTTCATCATAGTCTGACTCACACGGCCGTGGCTCCGGGCCAGGGTCATGTCAACACACCGACCCCCATCCACAAGGTCGTGACCGCCACTCCCAGACCAGCCTCCCGTGGACGGACACTTCCAAACAAACTCATTGCAGGCCCTCTCCCTGCTGCCGGTTTGGGGCTGATCACGGGAGGAGGAAATTCAACCCCTGGCGCCGGCCCCGGGCAGTCCTGGCCCACAGGGAACCAGCGGGACTGTGGCCCCGAGGGCTGGCGGGGACAGACTTGCAGGAGGCCGAGCGGCAGCCACCCTGCGGGTGTGTCTTTGGCAGCAGCTCTGGGGAAGCAGAAAAGGAAGAAATTTGGTCTAAAAAAAATAACAGGGTCTTTCTCACTCAGGGTCCCTCCAGCCCCCCATCTCCTGGCAGAGTGTGACACCCTCCCAGCCAGGAGGGGAAAGATTTAGTGGGGCCTGTTCCTAGCCAGAGAGCATGATGACACGCTTGGGGGACATGTGCAGCCATGCCTTGGTGCCTGGCTCAGGGGCCATCTGGCACCGCCTGGTCTGCTTTATTGCTGCTGTTTCCATTTTGCGTTTTCTGTCTTCCTGTGTGCTGACGCCGCCTAGGAAGCCTCCTAGGAAGCTGACGGCACTTCGCCGCTGGAAGACAGGACTCCGGTCACCGAAGGCCACTGCGATGAGCTTCTCTTGGTAAAGGAGGTGGATGCAGAGCCCCCGCGAGTGAGAGGGGCGAGCCCCCAGCCCCCAGCTCCTCTGGCTCCTCAGCTCTGGGCGCTTAGTCAGTGTCAGAGCATCCCAGGAAAGCCAGCACCTCTGTTTGTGTAAAAGAAATCACACACTCAAAGACAGTGTTTTACAAACAAGGAAAAGAAACATGTCAGGCCAACACATCTACACCTAAAAAGGTTTCAAAAAAAGCATGTTTTTTTAAAAAAACATCTGATATCTGAAATGTTAGAATTTCTAACAGATGGTGCTTTTGAGGGCTCGCCTTCCTCAGACAGGGTCCTGGCTTCTGCAGGAGACCTGACCCACGGCGACGAAGCCCCAGGCCATTTTCCTCTTGGGCTGAAAAGAGTTTCAGAATCTCAGTAGCTGTAGAATCGGCCTGTGAAGGAGTGGAGTCGCTTATTGCGTTGAGATCCCTTCCCCGAGATTTGCTGGAACCGCAGCACGCTCACCTGGCTCAGGGCAACACCTGCTCTTGCTCTTTGTTTCCAGCACTTGTAAAAGAAACGATACTGACGCCGAGTCTCACGAGTCCGGTGTTTTCCAGGCCCTGCGTGCAGTGGCGGGTGGGGATGGTCACACCGATCCTCACGACGGACTCGCGAGCTCAGGACTGTACGTCGCTGTCGGCTTTACACGAGGGAGTAAATTCCTCCTGCAGTGCACGCTCGTGTAACGAATGAGGGGCAGGCGGTCTCAGGAGCCTGAACGTGGCCGGCTGTCTCAGGAGCTCATCGCAGCAACAGCAGACGGCCACACAGGTCCCAGCCTTCCTGAGCTCGCTGTAAATTGACTCTGAAGCTCGCTTATTGCTGGATAAACTTCATCATCTTGGAAAGTAAGAAGGGCTCAGCTCTGTTTCATCGTATCCTAAAAATGGGTGTGGAAACACTACTTCTAGGACTTAAATCAAAATTCAAATCTGCCATTGTAGGTGCCCACGGGCAGTAAGAAGAAGCACTCTGTGGGGCTGAGGATGTTCCTGCTGGATGTGTCCATGGGATGAAGACTGATCTCTCCGCGATGCCCTTGAGAGAGGCGTGCAACTCCGGGCACTGGCGAGCCCCAGGGCTGGGGTCTGGAGCATAAGGAGGAAGGAGGCAATGGCAGTTCCTGTCCTCATCCTCCATGTCCTTGATGGTGACGCCGCCATCATCATGTTCAGACGAGTTTGCTATCCCAGGAGGAGAAACATGTGGCAGGAGAGCAGCAGGAGGTAGCAAATCTGGTTGCCATGGGATTCAGCCAGAGTTTTATTTCTGTTTTTTTAAAGATTTATTTATTTATGCCTACAAGAGCTGGGGTGTGTGTGGGGGGGTGAGAGGATTCACCAGAGACAGAGTGGGGAGCAGAACAGGCAGATCCACTGAAATCCATTGCTGAGGGGAGCAGCGGGGAGACGGGAGAGGTCTGCTGCACCATGAGGGTTGCTCCCTGGCCCGTCAGGGATTGAACTCATGCTGCAGAGGCTGCTGATAGCTTCATAGTGCTGTGCTTAACCCCTTGTGCCACCAGGGAGGCCCCCAGAGTTTCATTTCTGAACATGAAATTGAATCAGAAATTCAATCACTCTGCTTCTGTATCTATCATAGTAAATTATGTTGGAAAGACTCAATCAAGTCAATTATTTCTGGAAAAGACTGCCCTGAGTGGGTTGTGAGTTTCTTGTTTTGTTTTCCTCGTCATCTATAGGCAAAGAAGTTGTTAGTGATTCAGTGAGGGCAGGGGGATTGTTCCTTTGCCTGTGAAACCTCCAGGCGGTCATCCTGGACAATGATGAAAAATTAAATTATTGACCTTGGGAATTTAGTCTGTTGCTATTAAATCACTTTCACGCTATTACTTGAGGGTTACTCCAAGAGTCCATTTCATATGTGTCTATAGATTCCTCTCTCACAATCATTTTCTCTTTTCCCTATAAATATATCACTTTTTCTGGAGCTTGGGAAATATTAAATACAAGTAAAGTTTCTCTATTGCCCTTTACTACCGTTTTGTTTTCTGTCATAACAGCTGGGGTAGTGAAGCAATAAGAAGGGAATGCGTTCATTTAGGATGAAGCAGTAACAGTCACCCCAACCTGTTCAGCATGTGGGTATGAGGTTTAGGTGGAAGGAGAGAAAGTCTGTGGCTAGAAGAGATTTTCCTTCTTCCCCAGAGTCAAGTTTGAGATCTCCCAAGCCCGCTCATTACCCCTCTCCCTCTCGGGGGCCAGACAGCGCTTTGGGAACTGCGATGTCCTCATGTGTACCCGGGAGGTTCTCCCTGCACTGAGTCTGGAGACGCCACTTCAGTGGATCCCACAGAACATGGAACCCCCAGAACATGGAACCCCCAGCGCTGTGACGCGAGGGCGCCTCTCCTGAGGCATCCTGGACTCCCCCATTGTTCTCTGACTCTCAGCCTCTGCTCCGGCCGCTGGTCCCCAGTGGCCCCCAGAGCGGGAGACCCAGGCCAGATTCTAGAATGGCCCAAAGGAAGCCGAGCCTGTTCTGTCTCAGCAGGTGCAGCCTGAGCTCCCATCAGCCTGACGACCCAGAACTAGGGCGGAGACAGACAGAGGGAGATGCCACAGAACACGACCGCGCGCCGGGTCTCCCAAGACGCGTCACTTTGCAACTTCTGTCGAGAACATTAACGGGGAGGTAATTAGCCCTTGTTGTGACTGACGCCGAAGCCAGGATTTTTCTTGTTATGGGACTGATGTGTTATCTAGGCTAATTTGAGGAGTTTAATAACCAGAGGTTTTGCACCAGCATGAAAAATAAATCACACATGATGAAAACCTATTAAAAACACTCTAAGCAGTCTGCACATTGCTACTACCAATCACTAACAGCCATCAAAAGGTAATCCCCCAAAGAATTCTCTGAAAGTTTCAACTAAATTTCCACATTTTAAAAAGTGGGCAACTTTCACATCCTGATTGGAGACGGGCTTCTTGGAGGCTCAGCCGAGGTACAGATGGAGGCAACAAGGCTTGAGCTTACCAGGCTCCCGGAGCAGAGAGGTCATCATCGGGCCATTGTGCCCAAGGAACAGCAAGGACACAGGGGCTGAGTGTCCAGGGTCAGCACATCTCCCAAAGAAACCCACCTGGCCACGTCCTCCTGGGGTGTGACAGGAGGTCAATGTCCACATCTCTGCAGGCTGCAGACAGGAATGCACATCACGAGGGCCCTGGACACCGGGTAAAGCTGTTCTCATGGAAACCTCCCTCATCGCTGCATCTGCATGAGGACTGTAAGAGCCAACTGCACAGTCAGCAAGTGTGAACTTTGGTTTCACAGGACCTGAGTCGGGCCTCCGCCGTGGGATTCATCCATGGACCTCAGATCGACCAGGAGGCCAAGGCTGGGTGGATGGGCCCACGGATTCTTACCTCTCAAGCTTCCCATGGTGTCCAGACCCTGCCTTCCTGAGAGAAACCCAGGCCCTCTGTGGTGAGTTATACAAACCATATCAGGGAGGCCAGAAGTCTCAGGCCAGTGATGACCTGGAGACACTAGGTGGAGGGTTTATCCAGGGGCAGGGAGAAGAAAGCCAACGGTCAGTTAGTTCCCACCATGTTCCAGAAAGTGGAAGACACTGAGTCGAATTCATTGTGTGACCCTTATCTCCACACTGAGAGGAGAGATTGATGACTGCCTCTGACCACAGGAAATACTGAACTTCTGGGAGACTAAACACCTTGTCCCCTACCATCAGCTAATAGCCATCAGGAGGCAGAACCCAAATCAAGCTTTGTCCAAACCCAGAGTCTAACTTTTCTAACCCCTTGAATCTTCTTGGGGTATCCTTGGCCAAGGCTGAGTCTCCTCAGACTTTTTCCCATCTCCCCAGAAGCAGAATGTTCCACGGGTAGAACCTCAATCATTCCGTGGATGCTCAACACGCAAGATAGTCAAGCAACAAGTAAAAATAAATTAGAACAGCTAGGAAAGGAGACAATTCATTATCTGTGCAAGGACAAAAGCTACATTAAAGTAGTTACTTCACTGTACAAAATTGAAGAAAATTAGGAAATGATATTTTGCTAGTTAAACCCCAGGGTTTTGCCTTAACTGCTACAAACCTCCGGCCTCCTCAGGTACCTTTTCTTAATTATGACCAAGGAAGAGACAAGCTGTGCATTAAAGGCAGTCGGGTGGCGGTCATTAAATCCCTGAAAATCACCTAAGACCCAATCACTGCGCATCTCAATGCTGCACGAAGAACTCTTCATGGGAAAGCCAACTGCAAAACACATTTGAATCCAGTAACTTGATAGAGCAGAGAATAGGAGTGTCAGGAATTCCGCTCACGTCAGCAATCAGAACACGCAGTGGCAAGTGGATATACTCCACGGGTGATTTGGGAAACTCCATGGAGAGCAGGACGTTTGCATTTGTATATGAGTGATCAAAGAATATTGCCCGGTATGGACCCACTGCCTGGTGTTCAGAAGCCAGAAACCCCCCCTGCCACCAGCTTTTTAAAAGAATTTGAGTGCCAGGTCATCCGGAAGGACACTTAAGGCAGACCTCTCGCTCCGTCTCCCTGAGAATGGGATTTGGGGCAGTGTTTAGGGGGTTGAGGAAGAAAGAGAAAGATGAAAATGCAAGTTGGAAATGGATTGATTGCTTTTTGCTGAGTCATGGTGGGACTGGAATTTGGATTCAAAGCTACAACAAAACTGAGCACCCTTTGCTTCCGTGCTTCCCATTTAACCACGAGTTAAACCAGCTCAGCCCGTCCACCATAGCTGTTTTCCAGTCCAGACAATGAGAGGTCGCCTCTAGGACAGCAAGTACTTTTCTGGGCCTGTGCTCTGGAACACAACCTGCCAACTTATGAAAAAATCATTTTTTCTCCTCAATTAACATGGGGAAGGATATTTTTGTCCCATTGTTGCAAGTCTGCTCTACTGCTCTTGCAAGATAAGCAGAAATAGGAAATGTTCATCATGGCACTCAGAGATTCAGGAAGGTATCACAGTGGATATTTGACGGAACATCATTTCACTGGAAGGAGCAGCAAGTATACAAGTTGTTAGGCAGGAAGGAACTTGGCATGTTTAAGACAGAAAGGCAACAGCACCGGTGGCAGGTGGCAAGCAGGAGAATGGCATCCAAATGGTCAGGAAGGTAGACAGAGGTCATGCTGTATGGGTCCTTTCACGCCATGCAAAGAACCTTGGTTTCTGTTGAATTTATGATGCGAGATGGTAGTGACTTATCAATTTCATTTACATTTGAGGAAAGTAATGTTTTTCTGGGGTTACAGTGGGTTGTGAGGAAGCAAGAATGGAGAAGCAGAGAGGTTTCTAAGAGAGATGCAGGTGCTTATGAATACTGGTCTGAATCAGGTGTTTTCACTTGCAATGGATGATTGACACATTTTAACTATCTAGCTGGCGTTATGTGGAGCCAAAGCAGATGGAGGTGCGCAGGAGAGAGAGGAATAAGACAGCGTCACCTGACCATATTGAAATTCACATTACTGCTATGATTACTGGAGTGATTCTTCACAATTTGTCTGTTTCTTGTTCACAGGCAACGTCTCCCAAATGGAATTAAGGTACGTGGGCAGGCTTCTGTTCTCTTTGATCAAGTAGGACAGTGCCTGATGCCCAGACACTCAGATATTATATGAACGTATTATCTCCCCAAAACCTTGCAAATACTGCACTTGGCATAAAGCAGATATCCAGTGGCTGTCTGTAAGGTTTTGTTGTTTCTTTTAAGAACCCAAATGACACTCAAGAATCATTCAAGTGTCTTATTTCTCTGTGCTCTACCACTTGAGTTGGCAGTAACATGTAATTCTACCAATCTTTAAATCAAAATACTGCTGCCTAGTAGGAATTCTAATATACTTAATTTTTTCCTTCTATTTTGTATTGAGGGGCATTATCTCAAGATTTTCAAACCCAAGTTGTCATGTATTGTTAAAAATAGTAATTAAGTGCATCAACCTCCATTTTTCGTGTTCGCCTCTCAAGGGAGATAAAAGCACCGTCACCATCAAAAGCAGCTTAGACTTTGCTCTTCAAACTGGAGGCATTTCCTTGTCTCCTGAGGGACATTTCACACTCAAAGGTGGGGTCAGATGAAAAAGACAGCAACATTTTTGAAGACAGGCTGCCATGTCAATTTATTTCAGAATAAACAAGTAAATTCAGTAGATGATATTCCTTCATATGCCCTGAAAAGAAGAACTCGTTCAGCCTGAGAATAAACAGAATTAAGGCTCACTTAAACCAGCCATTTATTAAATTGATTCTGTTGCACTCCTTCTGCAATTGATCCACATGCAATTAGTCTGCCCTGCATATATTGCCAGCACTTCAGGGATGACAGAGCGAGAGGAAATAACACCAAAAATCCTCTCCCCACTGGGGCAGCAGCATCCAAGAGAACAATGAGGAAGCTGGCAGCCCCAGGAAAATCCTGGTGCATTGTACCAGCATTGATTTATCTCAAGGTTTTGGAGGAAGTGTTAGGGAATTAAATGTACAACTATTAAATGCATCATTTTTTAAATTAAAATAACAGCAGGAATGCTAAGAAGCAGAATACATCTTTATGTGAATTTCTCTGATAAAAGATATAGCTGCAAAGCTTTAAAGATGCAAAGGTAAAAGGAGTCCTATCCATTAGCCATAGGTCTTTTTAGGTTATACAGTCAGAGTCATTCAGTACCCACTGTGATTAGAGATTTCAGCAGAAATATTCAAGAAGACCAATGATGAACAGGGTCAGCTTCCCACCGCCTCTACCCCAAGCCTCACACATATGGCTCCAGCTGGCCTTTCTTGCCTTTCTGAGCAAAGCCCAACTGACTCTTCCATAACCCGTCATGGGCACCCCCTCAAGGAAATCTTCAAAGAAGTTACCCATGAAAGATGCCCATCTCATGACCTATCACGTCTCCCGCTTCTTCTCAGGTTGGCCAAGTAACCGCAGCAGCACTGGACTGGCAAGGGAGAGCAGTTGACTGGATAACAGAAGCGGGAGAATCTACATGTTTGTAAAATCTGTAGAATAATGGAAGGGACTGGGGATTATGTATTCTGTGTATAAGGAACCGAGGCATCAAAGAGAGGGGTGGGGGAACCTGAGATGACACTGAGAGCAGGAGATGAGGACATGTGCACCGACAAACCTGCACCCAGATGATACCTCGCAAACCATTCTCCTCAGTAGTGAAAATGGGGAGCAGCGATGGCTCCATTGATAAGGAAAATGGCAAGCGACTTGATGCTGGGCAAAGCTGAAGGGTGCCCAGGGACCCC